GGATATAAAACGTAAAAAAAAAAAATTAAAATGCCTTTATAAAGTGAAAATTGGTTTGCTTCGTCGTGGGGCAAAATTCAGTTTCACACGCAATCACTTTTGTAGCAGATTTCATCTTACGTAGAGGACCAATTATGGGTATGTGGCCGAGTGGTTAGAACGTTCTCATTCTGTTCATGAGACCCAGGTTCGTATCTCACCATAGTCGAAGAAGGAAACTTCCAGATGCTATCGGACTGGAAGATCCCAGTTGTTTCACCTTTGGAAAGTGCCTGAAAACCATACCACTACTTGACCCAAGTGAAAGCGGGTAGACGGAACCCCTGGGGGCTGTCGTTAGCTGTGCTAGCACGAAGTCACAAGTCATCGTGGCCGAGGTCTTCAGTGTGCTGTTCTAGTTCAAATTTTGATCACGCTAGATAACACGCACTCTTCCAGAAACTGTAACTAAGATCTGCTCAGTATAGTTGCAGTATAAACCACTGGTGGTCTCTGTGGATGTTGAATAAACACAAATGCTCCTGAGCAAGCTTCTGCAATAGGGATTGGCTAGCCGCCCTTGTAGATGGGTATCCTCGAGTACAAGTCTCCAGCTATAGATATATACATACTAGAGGGTCAACTTATAGAACTTATAAAAGATGTTATTTGTCATTGGTTGTGAATTGCCGACTTCTGCTATGTATTAAGAGGTTCTTGATAAATCTGCAATATTACCGGTACTGAATTGGCATATCGGCTTTAATCGCTTTCCCATCGCCGTAATGTAGATTTATGATCATTTCATAAATATTCTTAAGTTAATTGTTCTGACAAGCTTTCATCGTTGGTACAATGACGTTACGAATTTAAGCTCAGTACTTTTTTTGAAAACGCCAAGTAGAACGTCTGACTGATTTCCAGTAACATCTGGGGTTAGGCAAAGCTGCAATCTCTCCACCCCCTACTGTTCGTGATCTACATAGACCAGATTACAAAGGAGGCCAATCCAGATCCTGAGGCACTGAACTAACTCATATTCGCCGACAACCAGGCAATGATAAACAACGACAGGATCCATCTACAGGAACACACTGGTCAATTCAACTCAAATTCAAATGCGAAAAATACAACATAAAGATCAGTGTCAGTAAGACTGAGGACATGACCGTCAGCAAGAGACCAGAAAAACTGTACATTAATATCAATTGGACCCAGCTTAAGCAAACCAGTGAATTCAAATATCTGGGCAGCATATTTATTAAAAACGGCAAACTAGACAGAGAAATCGAGACCAGATGTCAGAAAACCAATGCAGTCTCAGATGAGATTGAACTATGATCGTTTAAGTGAAACATAAACTTTCTTGTCATCGTCGTTGTTGTAAAACCAACATACGTATTAATATTTTTTATCAGAGATGCAATCTCCCAAAGGACATTTAAACTAATATACGATGTTGGTCTTTTGTAAGATGCTAGATGACGGAGAATAGTTGTTATGGATTACTAAGTTGGTTGTATTTAATTTAGTATAGTATATAATTAATCTTATTTTTTTTTACTTGAATCAGTGGGGGATATATGTGAGACTTTTTAGTATTTTTTCCTCCTGCTTATAGGTAAGATTCGTTTGATATAAAAAAATCAAATTAAATAAAAACACGTGCACTCTCTACTATAAAAGTGAATGTCCTAAGTTTGACAAAATAGCTATTATACGAAATTTAATAAACATTTAAGAGCTTTGTTGCTATACTCTCAGTAGACCTTACGTGTTTTTCGTCGCATTTATCTTATAAAGAGTTTCCAAGATTTTAAGTTTTTTGTTTATCATTATCTTGATGACGGTCTTAAATGTTTGCAGCAGCAAAGTTTTATATAAGAAAAAAATACTAAATTAAAATACTATAGTTAAAAATCTTTTAAAAAAAAATTAGATATGTTACCTCACTTGCATAGATGTCAAAAAATATTGTGAATTTACGGTGTTAACGCATAACGCATCCATAGATATGCAAACCCTGAAGAGGGTCTCAGATGAGATTGAAACTACTTGGGAAAATAAAAAATTATTTGAAAGAAAATTTTGGAATTTTTCTTAATCAATTTTCTACAGCCACCAAAACATGAATTCGTGGATTTTAAAGCATTAAAACTAAAATAAATAGGTATAATACGTCTAAATTATTTAACCAAACCTGCTTGAGCATATATATGGAGTGGAGTAATGGATATCGGCTTGGATTGAGGAATCGCAGAGCCGAGTTCGAATCCAGGTTGAATCCATTACACTCACTTCCGTGCTGATACTCTTCTTCTCCCTCCAGCTATGGGTAAAATAGCAGGACAGACTGGGTTCTATAGCCTTGGATGTCAACTGGTCTAGGAGAAGGACAACTCTGAATTCAAAACCTGCGGAGGGTCGTTTGGGAAACTTGTGACACTCGGTGCACCAGGTCTCTGTATTTGGCCCTTCAAAAAGTGTGGATGGTCCTGCACGAAACCTTCACCATTATAATCGAATCTCATGTGCCGGTGTCGGGCTGTCAGTTTCCTGGAAAATTATCTGCTTGACCCTCATACGTCGAACCCGACAGGAAGAATGGATTTATATATATATATATATATATATATATCTTTAAAAAATATGTATATGTGTGTGTGTGTGTGTGTGTGTGTGTGTGTGTGTGTGTATATATATATATATATATATATATATTCAAATATAACTGCTCCGACGTGCAAATTTCCGGCATAACAACTGAGACATTACTCTATCCTTCGCTACATAAGAATTCTCATGTTTCAAAAACGAGAGCCGAAAACCTCAATATAATTATTAAAATTAAATTGAGTTAAATTATCAAGCCCTGTTTCATCCTCAAGCGAAAATTTAGGAATAACCAATCTTGAAATTTACGCATCTTTATAAGCATGTTCATTCGCAAAATTAAATACTATGGAAACGGCTGGAGCGACCATTTTGATAAGGAGCATAAGAGTTAATTTGTATCCACATATCAGTCATCTTCGGAAAGAGGTCAAGCCTCGGCAGGGCCGGGGTGTCCATTTCAAAACGAATAATGGGATTCATGTACGCACATCCTCTGGTCAGTCACAGCGACAGATAGGTTTTGCCACCATAATACGTCGTTAAGTGTCTAAAGAATTTTATTTTATTTATTTATTTCCTATAGGGCCGTTTCGTACATAAACGTGTCGCACTGAACTACAATTTGTTTTTTTGACGACTTCATAAAGGGTTTTTCTATCTTATGATTGGGTTAAGCTTTTAAACATTTTATTAGACTATGAAATTTAATTTTTTTATGCTAATTATTTAATGCGAAAAATCGTTAACTCATGTCTATGGTTTAATAAATTTCATTATTTAGAAACTTAATAATGTGTAGTTTTTCATGTAGGCATAAAAGGCATGGGTTTTCCTAGGTTTTACAAGTTCTTCTAATTATTATTTTCCATTTTACTTTTGGTGTTTTATTCATTTCCTTTAAATGCCAAAAATATTTCGATAGGAATGTCTGATTTCTATTTCTAATATTATTGAAAGAGCTTTTGTGTTGTCTCCATCTAATTTTAAATTCATTCTTCGTTGAACCAATGTATATCCTTTTCTTGTTAGGGCCCTCAATGGATGAGATAGTGCATTGGTATACCACAGATTTTACGCGGCATTTATTTTCCAACGGGCATTCTTCAGGGTTTCTACAATCACAGAATTTTTCATTATTTTTGTCTAATTTTAGTTTAGGATTTTTATTAATGCTGTTTTGGCATGTGTGTTTTTCCAGGATTTTATTATTATGTTTTTTTTTTATGATTCTTTCTAGATTTTCAGGGAAACTGTAACTTAATTTTAAGTTGTTTTTTTTATTTTTTTTATTAAAGATCTTTCTAAGCCTGCTATTAGTAAGAAAGTGTTTTTCAATTAAAGCTAGGAACTTATGTCCTAGCTTAATACTAACCATTTGGTTGAACGGAGGGGGTATACCAAATGATTTTTCTTTTTCTGATTTTCTTCTGGTTAGTACTATTGTTTCTGTAATTTATGTTAGCGTTTTTGTAACCGCGATTTTGTAGGGCTGTGTTATAGAAATTACTATGTTGTCGGAATATTTCCTAATAGCAGAGTTCATTCTGATTCTTTTCTCTATTGATGTGGGTATATGCTTAATTATAGATGGAGGGTGGATTGACTTAGGGTGTACATACAAGGGATTAGTGTTAGGTTTTCTGAAAGGTAGGTAAATGTTGTTCATTAAGTCTAGAGTTACGTCGAGGAAGTTTACCCTTTTTAATTTAGTATTGACTGTAGTTTTTAAAAACTACAGTCAATACTAAATTAAAAACACAGTAACCCTGTATTCCAATAACACATTTTCGTAGAAAAAATGTGCTTTCTCCGACAGGAATCGAACCTCTAACTCTAATTTCTGTTTATAAACATACATCCTCGTCGATTTTTCTTGATTGATCATTTCTGTTCTTTGTGGCTGTATTTCCCGAGACATGGGCAATGGAACGGAAACGGATTACACCCTTAGATTAATTTTTTTTTTTTAAATCGATTCACCCCAAGCAAGGTGATAATGCGACTAACACACAATGTGTTACTGAGAATGAAAGAGAATTATAAGACTTTACAAGGAACCGGAAACCCAAACCTAAATAGGAAAGAATGGGTAAACTTTTGCTCCCGTTCAACAAAGATGACAACAACGTAAATAGTGTAAACAAAATCCAAAGAACTAGTGCTGAACGGGTAAGATTATTTTGGGAATAAAGGTCCGTGACAGGAACACTTGCATGGTAGTAAATCGATGAAAACAGATCACTTCAATTAATCAGGCGCTTTTTCAAGACTCGTCCTTTATGTCAGAATATCTGGTTGGAAAGCACTGCCTTCTCACCAAAATTATCTTCCATTTTCTCTTGTAGATGATACGCGCCAACATGTTTGAAATTCAATTTCATTCTCACACGGCCTACGATTGAAAAATGGCGAGCACGATTATCACTGATGAAGTCACTATAAGAAGCACCATATTTGAATTTGTCTCACCCTCTCATTCGTTCTCTCACCCTTTCTCTCACTTTCTCTCTTTTACTCTTTTTCTCACTCTCTTTTTCTCTTTCTCTCTCATTCTTTCCCCCTTACTCTCTCTCACACTCTCTCTCTCTCTCTCAATCTCTCATTCTTTCAGTCTTTATTTATCTCTTTCTCACTCTCACTCACACACCCTCTTTCTTTATCTATCACTTTCACTCTCTTTCTCTCTCTCTCACTTTCTTTTATTCTCTCTCTCACTCTCTCGATTTCTTTATCACTCTTTCTTTCTGTCTCACTTAAATTTCTCTCTCGCACTCTCTAATACTTTCTTTTTCTCTCTCTCTCTCTCTCTCAATCCATCTCTCATTTTCTCTATCACTCACTATCTTTCTTTCTTTCTCTCACTCTCTCTTTCTCTTTGTATCTATCTCTCAGTCTCTGTCACTTTCTCTCTCACTCTCTCTTTCTCTCTCAACCTCACTTTCTCTTATTCTCTCACTGTCTTCCTCTGCCTCACTCTCTCATGCTTTCTTTCTATTTGTCTCTCTTTTTGTCTCTCATCCTCTTTTAATCTCTTTCACTTCCTCACTCAATCTCTCTTTCTCTCGTTGTCTTTCTCTCATTTTCTCTCTCTTTCTTTCTCTTTCTCCATTTCTCACTCTCACCCACTTTCTCCCATTCTCTCTCTCACTCTTTCTCTCTTTCACTCTTTCTTTCTGTTTCTCTTAACTTTCTCACCGTCTCTCTCATGATTTCTTTCTCCTTCTCTTTTACTGTCATTCTCTATCTTTCTCAGTCTTTCTCCCTCTCTTTCTATCCCTTTCTCTCTTTGTCACTCTCTGTCTTTCTCTCTCACTTTCTCTCTTTCTCACCCTAATTCTCTCTCTATTACAACTCCTTGTCTCTCGCCCCTCTATTCAACTGTATTGATACGCCCCACGTTCAATACGGCTATATTATGTGAGTTATGTGAATTGTATTCAATCTCCGGGTGAGAAAACATATCAACCTTTATGAGGTTAAAGGGGACCAAGTTTTGTTTTCAATAACGTTTAAAGCCCAAGAGCCACTCAAGGTAGATGTTTACAGAATAAGGTTAGTGTTGGGCAGTAAGAGTACAAAGTAATAAGTGCATAGTGTGAGGATATGTAAGATAGATAACTATCGATTCTAGACTTTAAAATCTTAAAGTTTTATGTTCAAGATTTCATTAATTGATTTGTTTTTTTACGGCTTATCAACCCTTTGCAGGTTATTTAAAGCAAGAAAATATTTTTTAGATTGTAAGAATGATTTTTTAAAATAATGATTTATTTGTAATGATAAAATTTTTATTGCAATGATACAATTGTTACTGTTTAACCCATAGCTGAGGAGAGAAGAGTTTGATTCATACCCAATCAGAATTTGATAAAGAAACAAAAATTATAATGTGGATATAAAGTTGGGTATCAATTCTATATTACAATCAATACATAAACTGAACCCTCACTTTGTGTTCAGAGTAGTTTTTATACATTTATGTTCTAGAGAATATAAATAAATACATGCTTGTAGCTAATGAGTATTTCATTGATTGATTCATTCATTTTCTATGGCTTATCAGCAAACAAGAAATTATAATGTGGATATAAAGTGGGGGATCAATTCTATATTACAATCAACATATAAACTGATCTCTCACTTTGTGATCACGGTAGTTTCTATACATTTCTATTTCAGAGAATGTAAATAAATCTAAAAGGCATGCCTGTGTCACTAATCAGTATTTCATTGATTCATTCATTCATTCATTTTCTACGGCTTATTAACAGACAAGAAATTGCAATGTGGATATAAAGTGGGGGATCAATTCTTTATTACGAGCTATATATAAACTGATCCCTCACTTTATGACCACTGTATTTTCTATACATTTATATTCCAGAGAATGTAAATAAATCTAAAAGACATGCCTGTGTAGCTAATCAGTATTTCATTGATTGATTGATTCGTTTTCTTCGGCTCATCAACAAACAAGACATAATGTGGATATAAAGAGGAGGATCAATTATGTACTATAATCAATATGTAAACTGTTCCCTCACTTTGTGGCCAGGTTAGTTTCTATACATTTATATTCCAGAGATTGTCAATAAATCTGAAAGACATACCTGTGTAGCTAATCAGTATTTCATTTCATTTTACGGTTTATCAACCCTTTGAAGGTTATTTAAAGCCAGAAAATATATTTTTAGATTGTAAGAGGGATGGGGATAATAATGACTTAGCGATACAAGTCTAACTAATTAATCTATAGCTGGGGAGAACGGGGGGGGCTTCATACCTATCGCGATGGTATTTGCGCGTAAGTCATCTCTCTGACTAATAATTCCGAGCCATTATTCATTACTCCACTCAGTCTATTCATATATATCTATCTCATTTTGCTGATATCTATCAATCTATCTATGTATCTATCTCTCTATCTCCCTCCCCTCTCTCTCTCTCTCTCTCTCTCTATATATATATATATATATATATATATATATATAATTATTTATTTAAAAATATGATTCCAAATCGCTACATAAGAGGTCTCATGTTTCAAAACAAGAGCCGAAATATATATATATATAAAAAGGACAAAGTTCGAGGATTATTTTATTTTAAGACATTTTTATGTTTATACATTCTTTTGATAGATACAAATATTTAAGTAAATGTTCTGTTTATATATAATAAACAGTTTTAACAATATTTACCGGCCTGAATGTCCGAGAAATTTTCATAGAAAATATCCTTCTCTTCATCCTTTCCTCTATCACTCCTCTTTGCTCTCGCTCCAACTCTCTGTAACCCCTTGTGTGCTAGTGGCTTCCCGCCTTACTTGGAGTGAAACGCTTAAAATATATAGATCTATCTCATTCTGTTCATATCTATCTATCTATCTATCTATCTATCTATCTATCTATCTATCTATCTATCTATCTATCTATCTGTCTCTGACACCCTCTCTCTTTCTATATATCTCCCTATATATATATGTGTGCATATATATATATCAATCTCTTCAGATCTATATGTCTGTCTATCTAATTCTTTTCATATCTATCTCATTATGTTAATATCTATATATCTATATAAGAAAGCATAAATGAAATATGTCTTTCCCCTTACATGATTTTCTCCACAACAACCCTGCTAGCATCCATAAGTTTAAAATACATATATATATATATATATATATATATATATATATATATATATATATATATATATAGTGGACTCTCCTATCGTAAACGATAAATGAGGGTCAACAGTGAATGGTGTCTTTCGTTTTACACATATGCATGATAGCAGAGAAAAGCAGGTAAGGGAAAGACATATTTCATTCGTGCTTTCTTAAGTGCGATTCTAGCCCAGCGTTGCTGCAGACGACTGAGCCACACTGACCGATGTAATTTGTTAAAGCAGGATTTTAAGGGCGTCTCTGCTTCAGTGCTTGAGAAAGCTGATCACGGTGCTTCTGTCTACTGCCGTCAAAAATATATATATCAGTCTCTTCAGATCTATCTATCACTCTGTCTATATATCTATCTATCTAGCTAGCTAGCTAGCTATATAATATATGATTAGTATATTGGGATAGCAGATGATAATTCAACATATATTGTTAAACAGACAACGAATGTCTATTATGTTTAATCATGAGCCGTTCTAAGCTTCGTATTGTTGCTTTAATTTCGGGGGAAATAAAGACAAAACTGTTCTAGATTTGGGTATTTTTTATTATGCTGTTTCTTGATGTAAGCTTTTTTAATGTCCATATAGCCACTCTGATGATGGCTTGTGTGAGCCGAAAGTTTAGATCGAAGAACAGCATAATAAAAAAAATATCCAAATTTTGGAGGACAGTTTTTATTTTTATTTTCTTCCGAAACTAAATCCACTAATCGAAATACGTTGCCTGTTATATATATATATATATATATATATATATATATATATATATATATATATATATATATAATTTCAAATTATAAATATAGTTAAGAGCAAGAAACGGTAGGGAGTTGTGGAGAGCCATGATCACCTGCTTCTTGAAGAGATGCAACACATAGATGAAAAACGTTCAGAATTCGTTTGGATCGATCAATTTTTTAAAGCAATTTATTTTAATCTTTTTTTTAATTTTTTTATTGCCGGGAAAATCAGCAGAAGGAAACACAAAAGGGCAAAGCCCCTTGTATTCGGATTCGACCGTCAACCTTTGGTGCTTGTAGAGAATACGGCCATGTTTTTGATGATAAACTAAAACATGGATAAGCAACGAGAGAGAGAAAGAGAGAGAAAGAGAGAGAGAGAGAGAGAGAGAGAGAGAAAAGTGCGAGAGCGTGCGTGAGAGGGAAAATGTGTTTTCTGCGCGCGTACTTAAATAGGTTTACGCGTCCGAACGTGAACGGAGGTGCATTCTTTAACAACTTCGTCTGTTTAATTATTAAAATGTTTATCAGCGAAGTCTCGCTTGCGTTGTCTCATCGGGTCGTTAAAAACGTGACGAGGTCTTGAAGGGAAAGAGAAGAGTTTTACCGGTTAAGACTGGTGAGAATCGATATTAACCTGATAATAACAAGGATACTCGATAATTCTTATATATTCTCCAAAAAAAACAACACCGCTAATTTCTTTTCTAGACATACAGATACACACGTAAACACACACATATATATATATATATATATATATATATATATATATATATATATATATATATATATATATATATATATATGTGTGTGTGTGTGTCATATATATATATATATATATATATATATATATATATATGAAAAGTCGAAAATTTCACAACCTGACCCATTTAACAAAATCTGATAAAATAAACAAACATTAGAATTTGAGGGAAATAAGCTTATTTTTCAAAAATATCACAATCCGACAAAATAATAGAATCAAGATTAAATAGAAAAAAATATCAGTCTAACATGTTTCGATTTCATTAAAACTTCATCAGGGAACAAAAATGAAAAGTTAGATTGATACGGGACTCAGGGTTGAATATTGGGGGACCTGGGGACAGCAAGACAGGATTGAACAGTGTGGAATGGGTTTGTCAATGGAGTTCCGACCAACTATAAGGGAGGTCGAAGGATGATGATGAGGTGTTGCTCCTTTTGATAATCTACAGTTCTAGAGTTCATATATATATATATATATATATATATATATATATATATATATATATAAGTGAAAATTGAAGTTGGCACTCAGACAGAGGCGACAACCTGTTTCATGCTAGACGCAATCATCAGGCCGCCATATATATATATATATATATATATATATATATATATATATATATGTGTGTGTGTGTGTGTGTGTGTGTGTGTGTGTGTGTGTGTAATTATTTATTTTTAAAAATTTATAACAGAAACATGTTATAAAATCACTACAAATATAGCCATTTTGTTTCAACACTCCCGGTGTCTTATCAAGTAATAATGTTGAATGCAAAACAAATGGTTTTAAAAGTTTCAAATTAGTTAACAATCCTTCGCAAGGGGAAAACGTTGTTCCAAAAGCTAGAATGACCAATCAAAATACAAGTATAAGAAAATTCAAAAAGCCTGACAACGAAGTCATGTTATAATAGCTATTCAGATCTTTAAAATACGGGTAATATTAAAAAAAGAATTTATTCTAACCAATAATTATTAAATTATATGATAAAATTTTATATTAAAATTAAAAACTGCCAATTTTAAAATCCAAATTTAATCACTAAGTTTAAAATTATAAAATTACCGAGGAGAAAAGGAAAAATACATATGTTATTCAATTTATTTCTTCGTTGAAATTACGTTAGAATAGACTCTACGTCATCCGGTCCTCCGACAATATATATGTATACAATTTAATCCCAAGTGTGTGAATGGGGTCCTAAACTCACACGTAAAACAACACAAACACAATCAGATTATAATACATAAGCACCCAGACATATTTAGATATATATACACAGAAAAAAGTGACGAGACAGAGAACATCTCCACGGCCCTTTATGGAAAAAAAGGGGGAAACAAACACATATATACATACACAATTAAAAGTGAATGCACTTTCCATACACATAAACTCCGATAAATACGTGTACACACATCCACAGACAATGACCTATCAGATACCACAACCAATAAATATTTAAGACTGAAAGTGTCATTAAATAAATGCTAGCCACTTAAGCGAGCAAATATACAAATGTTGGTTATATATATATATATATATATATATATGTTGGTTATGAAGAAATATAGTCTTAAGGTGTGCTATATTTATGGGATAAAGTGCTCGATATCAGAGATAGAGCGTGAACAGTCTATTATAAGATAATCAATCCAAATGAATACAAATTAAAAACTGTTCCCGCCAAAATAATAGTTAGAATAAACTACAACAACCAACCCCAGAACCGAACGAATAGCTTTAATTAAATTCTCAAACCAAAACAAAACTGTTAAATAAGTGATATAAACAAATTTTTACTACGTTAATAAAAATACACCGATTTAAAAAATAAATAAATAAATAAGATAAGAAACAAAAAATAAATAAAAACAAGCAAAATAATTTAACCCAAATAAATAAATAAACGACTTCCGGTAAATAACCGCCATAATAGACTACCACTGACCCGTATATATATAAATAGCCGAGAAAAATAACAGCACACGTGGCCTGACGATTGCATATAGCGTGAAACAGACTGTCGCCTCTAAGTGTTGACTTCTATGTTCACTTTTATATGTTGTTATATATATATATTGTTTATATATATATATATATATATATATATATATATATATATATATATATATATATATATATATATATATTTAGTTATTGGAATCATTCCTTATACACCAATTATATAATTGGGTATATATATATATATATATATATATATATATATATATATATATATATATATATATATATATATGGTACAATGGGTAAATAGTCGCCATTTTATATTTTTAATTTCCTTTATGTGCTTTGTTTGTTTTTGGTTTTATCGACTGCACAGTTGGACACCACCTATAAGGAAAAAAAAAGTACCATAATGCAATTCTCTTAATTTGGAAGCGGAAGGCTGTAATGCTTGGCCTTGGCTCCGGAAGCTTCAATACGAACATTTCAGAGTGTTTGGGTGTCAATCTGAGGACAGTGCTGAGGATTCGGAAAGAGTTGGCTGAGTCTGATGGTGATTACGAAGGTACGGCAGCTCGGAAAACAGACTCTGATTAGAAAAGAACTCCTGAATTGGTTGGTGAGTGCCTTAGACTCAACACGAAGGCCTACATCAAATGGCTTGTGGAAGTAGTGCTACTCAGGATCAAGTGGGTGGCTGCTGGAAGTCTCTATGTCTGGCAACAGAACTCTTCACCATGTCAGACAATCGGGAGAACCAAGTCATGGCTGTTAGACAATTTCTGCAACCACATCATATCTTACACCTGGTCACCTAACCCTTCAGACTGCATCCCCCCCCTTGATTATTATGTGTGGGGTGCAATTGAGCGAGAGATCAACAAAACTCCTTATAACACCAAAGATGAAATGAAGGCAAGGATTATGGCAACATTCAGCGACTTAATCAAGGAGACCGTCCAGAAGAGTTGAAGGAGATTCCGAAGGCCGTCGTTGAAGCCAATGGCGATTTTATTGAATAAATTTAGTCTCTAGTATTTCAAGATATTTTTGTGTAATTTTGGTGAATATATCTGTTAAAATCTTGTCATTGTTATTTTCAATTTTTTGAGTAATTTAGACAACAAATTATACATCGCGCCCTGTATACACACACACACACACACACACACACGCATATATGTGTGTGTGTGTGCGTAACAATGTGCGTGCGTGTGTATGAGTGTGCGTTAGATAGATAGATAGATAGATAATGAACAGACTGAGATAGATAGATGAAGATA